ACAAAAATGGTTCCTGAACATGAGATAATTTTATACAGTAAATAATCTGCACAAACAGAATCACAGATCTGGATGAGATCACATGTATTTATCATCAGAATTGCATAACTGATTGTTTTGACTTTTTAAAGTACCTCCACCAATCTACTAAACTGGAACAAACATTGCTACTGATTTTCATTAAAAAAGAAATCTAATAATTGAAAGTTTCAAAGACATAAGTAAAATATAAAAGATCACTAAATTCATTCAACAACATTTAAACCTACAAAAAATGTTTCAATAGAAGTATCTTCACTGAGGTTCAATATTAAAAACTAGAAAATTTTAATTCCAATACAGCCCAAAAGAAAATTTAACTTTGTAGTTAACTGTAGATTATACCCAAATTACTAAACTATTATAATTTGTTCACTAAGTTTATAAATGCTTATTCAGAGGAAATGCTAAAAAAAAAAAGTTACTCTTAGTATGAGAAAAGATAAATCCAGTATTCTGTTCATCTACACACACTTGTGAGGATCCACAAATAACCAAGATGACAGAAAGATGGGTTGGTATTTTTATCACATGCAAAGACAGCTATGTTCTAAACCTGTGTTGTCCAATATACCAAACACTAACAAGTCATGTGTAAGTTAAACACATTTCAAGTGCTCAATAGCCACATGTGGCTAGCAGCTACCACACTGGACACCTCAGATGGAGAACATTTCCATCAAAGTTCAACTGGACAGCACTATTCTAAACCATGGTAAAATGCAAACTTCTAAATACTTTTTAAATAGTAATACAAGTTCAAATAGCATTTGGCAGCAAGGGAAAGGGCAAAAACAAATATAAATAGTAATGAAGGCTTCAAGTATACAAAATTAATTTTATATGGTTTAATTTGAAATTTCATCATATTGAGTCTGAAAAGATTTTCAAAGTAATTTAATCCTTCATCCTCATTTTACAGATGATGAAACTGAGTCCAGTGAACAGTACAAGAAAAGTTAATCTTCCTTATTTAAAATATTTAATATATTCAAATAAAGTCATTACTACAAACAAGCAAAATGTGCTATAATTGATAATAAACTGAAACATGATACAGTCTAAGCTATTTTGTGTATCTCAGAATTGGCTTTGCCTTTCGATAGCTTTTTAGCATAGTGGTTAGGATTTCAGATTCTGGGGTTAGGTTGCCTGGATTCAAATGTTGCTGTTTGACTTACTAGCTGTGCAACCTAAGCAAGTCATTAAGACTTTCTGAGCCTCCATTTCTTCATCTGTAAATTGAAAAATAACTTAAGTATTTCATAAGGTTGAAAAGATTAAGTAAAAATATGCATGCAAAGCACTTAAGAGAACCCAGCACATATTAGCCCTTAAGAAACTTTAGTTGAGAAACCTGCATTTTTGTTGAACTTAATGTAACTTCCCGAGGCGATTTTCTGATTAATTTCTATTCACCTTCAAAATCTTAAGACAGAGAGATACTCTGGAAAACAGCCAAAGATCATCATGTAAACACTAAACTACATGGTGGCTTTTCATTCTGTCACCATGGGACAATGTGCATCCAAACCTCTACCAACACTTTTCACCCATAGGCATGGATGTGTAATACAAAGCTCCATAAGCAACGTGTATGTGTAATATTTTAAGAAGCAAAATAAACAAAATCCCCTTACAAGTTAAAAGAAGTGGCATGTGTTTTTTGCATTGGTGACTGTGGGTAAAGTAAAAAGTAGAAGACTAGATAAGTAAAATAATCTTTGGGTGTGTGTGTGTGTGTGAGACCGGTAAGGGGATCGCAACCCTCGGCTTGGTGTCGCCCGCACCACGCTCAGCCAGTGAGCTCACCAGCTATCCCTATACAGGATCCGAACCTGCGGCCTCGTCACTCCCAGCGGCGCACTCTCTCAAGTGAGCCACGCGGTCGGCCCACAAAATAATCTTGAATGACAAGAATTTAAAACTTCTCAAAGAACTGTACCATCACACATTTCTACAAGTCTGTGTTTCTATGTATTAGCTGATGTTTAAACAACTACATTCAAATTCTGAAAGGCATATATCTTCAAGAATATTTTTTTAAAAAATGGAACAGTTAAGTATGCAATGGTAAGAGCTGTTTTGTCATTACGTTTTGAGACACATCAATACGATTTTTTTGTTTACTGCAGTAGAACAACAGGTATCCAAGTTAATGTTATCTCCAGAAAGTGTGGAAATGAGAGCGGAATCTCCCTAACTTTTAGGTCTTATCCCAGTAAATGTTTATTCTAAGAACAGAGGGACAGGTTTCAATAGAGTACACCATAGGCACCAGATAGGCAAAGCTAACCAAAACCTTTCTCAAATATCTTTATGCCCCACTTTATTCTTCTGGAATATTTTTAGAGCTAAGCTCTAGAATCACCTGTCTGGGTGAGGCTTGGTCCTAACCAGTCCTCATATCTTAATTGACTTGATATTTTTTAATTAGTTTTTCAAAGCAAACATATTCCTATTGGCAATTTTCAGAATTCTAACTTCACTTTACATCATTTTAGCACTTCTGCGTTGCCTCTCAGTTAACCTTTATATATTCATCTTCTCTCCCACGCTAGATAGTTTTCAGCTTTTACTTACACGGCCTCCTACTGAAACTAAAGCATTTGGTAAATATTTTGAAAATAAATGTATTAATTAATTATTTAGTAATGCAGAATGGAGTCAGGGCATCAGATTCTATTCCTTACTCTGTTATTTCTAATAATATGATCTCAACTATAGCTTCTTCAGAGTTCAGGCTCTTTGGCTTTGAAATGGAATGACTGCACAGGCTGATCTCTAAGATCTTTATATTCTTAATAGTTTATGCTTCCATATATCAACTGAAGTTTAAATAACTACATTCAAATTTTGAAAGACATATTTTGAAGAGCAATTCTTTTTTAAAAATGCACAGAACAGTTAGGTTAATAGTAAGAGTTGTTCTTTTACTAAGTTTAAAAATGTATTGAAACAATTTCTTTGTTCACTAAGTAGAACAACAGCCACACACACCTGACAACATTGCTCAAAATGAAATTACAAACATTGATCAACACATGAGGTTTCAGGTAATTTTCCCTATGAGATGTCACTAGCTATTTTCTTTTGTCACTCCACAACAGTTTCTCAAACTATTATAATGACCTTTCAGTTTCCATAAATCAACTTACATAAAAAGCTGGTTAACATACTTAAGAACTAGGCTGTCACTAACACTTAAAACTCAGGAAAGGATTTATTCATAGAAATAACTTAATTATGTTTAGATAAACATTTAAAGTTTCCATTGTGTTTCCTGTAAACATTACAAGATTATCACAACTACGAGTTTCAAATTAATACTGTCTAGTGGAAAAATAGCTTGGTAACAATAAGATTAATATACAGATCACAGAAGAGTCTACTATCATATTTATATTAGAAATATAAACACTGTACAGGCCAGCACTTTCTATGAAAATCACTGATATGATTCAATTACCAAGTATACTCTTTTACAACACAATTAGCACATGTTTTATTTTTGAGTTAACAGAGCTTTAAATTAACAGGGAAAAATGACAATTTGTCAGATACAAATACTTCCTTACACTTTCTGTATTTATTATAATTTCTGTACAGTCACTTACTACATTTGCACAATTAAAAAAACAACAGATGTTCATCTCTACATTGGCTTTTTAAAATCCCCATATCATGTACTAAAGTATGTTCTTTATTAGTTTGTATGACAGTTCATCAAACTTCTCTGGAGCTCCTGAAAATTAACACCAAAACCTTATTGATGACACAACCACATAATCTGATCTCCCTATTCACATTAAACAAAGTGAATGACTAAATCCTTCTAAGTAAATTCTACTTTATTTGCACAGAAAAAAGCTATTTTCTTCATGCTAAATTACAAAATTAGCCTAATTCTTACTTTACAAACATAGAAACATTAAAAGATACTATTCACACAGTCTTAAATAAATCATAGGCTCAGTTCAGGTGCTGAGATGTCTTATTCTTTGTGATACAACAAATACCATTTGTTACCTGGTCATTCTAAATTATAAAATCTAATACGAACTTTTTACAAAGGCAAACCGATTTTTCTTTCACAACCCTTGTGGTCTATATACATACACACACACCCCATATAGCCCTACAAAAATTCGATTTTCATGATTTTTTACTGTTTGGTGTAAAGTGTGTAGTGCTCGCACTTTCAGCTCCCAGAAGAAATCAACCGTGTTCTGGAAGCACTTCAACTCATAATGACCTTTAAGTTTTACAGGCATTGTAGCATGTTCTCGAATGTCTAGAGAAAGGTAAACCTGCCTGGCTTCTTTCTCTAACAGATAAAGTTGCTGTTTGGTCTTACTACGTTTTCCATTCCTAATCTGAAGAGATGGAGGATCTCTAAAACAGTTGTCCAGTCACGATTAACCTCACCTGCGGAGAGCCTGACTAGCAGCCTCTCACCTTGTGATAAGGTTGGGTTGGATCCAAGTGATGGAGGGAAAAGAGCCAACTCTACCCGCAGCACTACCAGTCGCTCCCAAAGAGGGAGGGAACGAGGGATAGGATGGTACAAGGGACTTCCTTCCCTGGGCCATATTTGGGGACGTGTTCTAGAACGTGTGGGTCCTCCTGGCGCTTATGAGAGGGAACCGCGGGGACTGCTCTTCTCCTCACTCTCTCCAACCGGCCCTTCGCGCTCAGCCCTCACCGGGGGCTGCGGGGAGGGGGTGCAGGTGGAAGGCAGCTGCTCCCCGGGGCCCCCTGGAACGACACGCGGAGGCCGCTGCTAGGCCCGGACTGTGCCCGCGGCCTCGGGGGCTCCGACGAGGAGGGGTGCTCGGTGCCCCGCGCCGGCCCGCCCAGCGGATACCCAGACCCGGCCCTCGACTCACCGCTCTCCACCTCGCTGCCTTTCTTGGCGGTCGACGCGTTCCCCATGACCGGGGCGATGGCGAGAACGGGTCAGGGAGGGGAAGGGGGGCTGGGGCCGTCCCCGCCGCTCCACAGTCTGAGGCAACTCCCTTTTCTGTACCGTCAGAGCGGTGAGTGCGCCCAGCGTCCGGGCGGGAAGATGGGCCGGGTTTGAGGAAAGGGCTTCAGCGAACTCCTCAGTCGGGGGGGCAGCAGCCGTGGCGGCGGCGGTAGTGGTGGCCAGACACTCCCCCTTCCCCAGTCTTGCTCTCCTGCGCGCCTCCGGGCAGCCGCGCGCTCCAGCCCGGCCCCGGCCCCGGTGCATCTCCGCGGGCGGGCGCGCACGCCGGAAGTGACGTGCAGCCCGGGACCCCGGGAGCAGGCGGTGGGCCCCAGCTGTGCCCAGCCGCGGGCGGAGGGCCGAACTGGCCGGGACCCGCCTCTCCACACTTATCACCCGGGCTGGTGCTCGGGTGCCCATCCCCGAGACAGTGGGAGGCGGCATGGGAACCGTTAGCTTAGAAGAACGCAGAGTCTCTTCAGCCCGTCGCTCCCGGTGCTTTGGAGCGAGGTTGCGGAGATGGTGCAGCGGCTCGGGTTGCTTTGTGGCGCCCCGCAACGCGCAACGCGGCGGCTACTCCATCAACGGCTGCTTTCTCCCCACAGTCCCAGGCCGGGGAGGAACCTCAACGTCGCTCTGGAGCTCACACACGAGGGGAACCTCTTGGTCACGCCTCAGGACCATGCGGGACTGGTCAGCATGAGCCTCGGGACAAGCCTGGTTCGAGCCTCTCTTTCTCGCATCTGCAGGTATTCGCTGAGCCCAGCACGTTGTCCTCCCCGTTGGTGGGTTTCATCCAGTCACAAGCCCTGTGATGTTTTCACTGCAGCTCTCACTCTCTGTGGTTTTACCAGATCTCTCTCGTGGTTTTGTCAGTATTCCCAGGGGGGAGATAAAGGAAAATACGAGTTCTGCGAAACGTCTGTTGATGTGCCGCACTGTATTCAGCAACTTTCTGAGTAGATTGAAGAATAAATACATTCCGAATTGTTACTTGCGTTTTTATTAATATACATACATCTTAGAGCCCTTGAATTTGTTATTAACTTTACGTATCAGGTAATTTATGTGACACTCTAGTATTTTTCGTTGCATATTTCTTTGAACTTTGGTCTGTGAACATTTATTCCAAATTTCTAGTAGAAAGACTGTAACTTCCCGAGGGGCAGTAACCGCGTAAATTTATTTTGTGTCCCCAAGGCACCAGGCATAGTGGGTGTTTAATGATGTGGCTTGAAGGTAAGTTGAGGAAATTTCGCAGAGTATTTTTTTTAATCTCATTACTAACAAAAACAGGGTGGTAAGTAGAAGTTTCTCAATAAATTCTTGCTATTTCTTATTGCCAGTTCTATTAAATTAACAAATATTTTTATCATATATACTGTCTTTCGAGTGGTACACAAATAGTAACTCATTTGATCCTCATAAGAACCCTATGAGATCTGTAGTTTTACTATACCACTTTACTTATGAGCAGACTGAGGCAGAGAGAAGTTAAGTAACTTACCCAAGGTTACACAGCTATTACCTGGTAGAAGCAGGATTTGAACCTAAGGACTCAAAGTCGGATATTTTGTTCATAATGTTGATCACACACCTGTGAATGTTTAGGTAAATTTCATTCTCTTCATTTGCAGTCCTATCGACTTGAAAAGATAGATGCACAATGAGTTTACTTTTGGGGGGAAATTCATTATGTTGTTTTCAGGGTTTCCATTAAATCCAAATAAAATAAAAATAATAGAGAAGTAAGGATTTGGACTAGATGATGTGAGGTTTTGTGTCAGCATGCAACAATGTCACATCCTTCCAATCACATTTAGTTTTGTGGATGTGATATTTTGTCCAAAATACACAAAAAAATTTCAATAAATAGCATTAAACCACATATGTACCAAATTTTGATACTCTTTTTTGGAAAGAATCTTTCTAGAATCCTAGAATACTCCCTCTCTGGGGTGAGTTTAAAAATATATGTCTTTTTAAAGACCAGATTTAATAATAAAAGAGTGGTTGTATGCATAATTTGTCACTTTCCTTAATTTCAAATTCTAGGTCTCTAATAAGAGGGCAGCCATCTGTTTAGTAAATCATAAATTTACAAAGGAGACAGTTGACAGCTCTTAGTGAAGCAGAAAGTGTGGCTTTATAAAATTGTCTCCCTTTTTCAATTTATCATCAGTTAAGGAAGCAAATTATTTGTTAATAATAGAGAAAAATGATCAGCAATTTTAAATTTCTTGCTATTTTTCTTTTTTTTCTTATACCCTTATTTTTGCTTCTTAAATTAGCTTACACTGCTCCTCTGGTTCAAGTAAGATTATACTTTAAAATATAGTTTGATGAATAGTTTTTGATTAATTAACATTAATAATCATTTACTTGTACCTACTTATAAGTTGATTTTCATTATTAGAAGAGTTCTCTGCAGGAATCCATTGTTTATGTAGCGTTTAAAAGATTATGTTTCAAGAATTGTTTTTTTTCTAAACTCTACAAGGGGCAGAAACTTCATTAGCTGTCCAGTTAGTCTTGAATGATTGGAGCTAGCATGAAGCAATTGCTATCTTCGTCCACTAACGAGTTTGCTATACTCTATGTACAGAGGTGGAACTATATCTTGTTTCTCTGGTGAAGCAGACACAGATAGAAGGGTGTCAGACAGAGAAAAGACTTTGAGTCCTCTTTTATATGGTATTCTTGCTGATCTGAGAACATGCAGCACTGTGTAGCAAGGAAAATTGTACCAGTGGTAGCTGCTTTGGAAATAATTTTCCTTACATTTTCTAGTACTTTATAAAAACCATTTTCATGCCATTATTTTATCTGATCCCCACAACAAACCTACATAAGCAAAACAATTAGCTCCATTTTACAAGTGAGTAAAACAAAAGTTTAAAGAAATGAGGTAACTTGGCCAAGGTCACTCAAATGACAAGAGGCAGAGCACTAAATTATATGCCACCACTGTGCGAGACAAACATAATCTCAATCCTCATTAAGATTAGGTTTTATTATCCCTGTTTTGCAGATGAGAAGACTAAGGCTTAGAAATAAAAAGCCTTGACCCTCTTCCTAGAGTCACCTCCTTCACTTAGGAGTGAAAAAAAGGGAAAAATTAGTAAATTGTTATTCATATTTATTTTCTAGTTTTTACTTATGTTGCTGGTTTTGTATTTTTGTTGCCAACTTGATTTCCAAGTCCTTTTAAAGTAAAGCACTCTCAAACGCAATGTATACCAAGAATTCCTTTAAAAGATTCCTTTACAGTCACCAGGACAGATAAACTAAAATTGATAATTATTGGAAAATATGGCCAAGTCATTTTGTTTTTATGTTATATTTTACATCAAATAAGTACAATTGAAGACTTATTTAACCATCATAGGATTATTATTATGATTTTGAATGATAAGTAATAATCTACATAGTCTAATATTTTGCTATTGTGTAGCAGGTCCTAAACCAAATAGTACCACATTAAATATCAGGCAAAGGGCAGAACAATATTTCCAAAATTAGGAAGTAATTTTATAGCTAATAAATTACAAACATGATATTTGTTCAGATCATTCTAGTACAGTTCAGAGTTTTGTCAGGCATAATTCCAATCCCTTTGTTTAATAATGAATTTATTTTCTGAGGTTTGTTATTCATCATTTTGGATATTCCTTTACAGATAAGGAAACTAAAATAGTTGACTCTGGTTAAATAACCTGCTCAAAATCAACAAAAATGAGCTAGTGGCAGAGTGGAATTATAACTTCTCTTTTTTTGCTGAAGGACTAGAATGCAAACTGACAGTGTTACAAAAAAAAGTGACAACATGGAGAGGGGAGTAAAACCAACAACTTTTATTCCTTGCTTAATATATAGTGCTTTTAGGGGCGGCCCGGTGGCGCACTGCTACAGTGCGCCGCTTGGGAGCGCGGAGGTGCTCCCGCCGAGGGTTCGGATCCCACGTACCAACTGGCCGCTCACTGGCTGAGTGAGGTGCGGACGCAACACCGAGGGTTGGGACCGAGGGTTGCGATCCCGTTGCCGGTCCCGGTCCGGTACGGGCGCGACACTGAGGGTTGCGATCCGTTGCCGGTCACGAAAAAAGACAAAAAGGAAAAAAATATATATATATATATGTAGTGCTTTTAGAAAAAGTTTGTTTATTTTGGATATTCTGATTTTACTAGTGGATTTATCAAAAGTACAGTTAAATACCTGCTACTTCAGTATTGTGCTATGCATTTTTTGACATATATTTGTAGAACAAAGATAACACCCAAATTTATAAGACGTCTGATGCTTTATGAAACCACCAAACATGGTGCAAGACCTTTCATGAAATTACAACTTTTATAATTGGAGCTTGTCTTTGACCAAGGTGAAAAGGAGAGAATCTGGCCCACTGAACTGAAATTATATTCATATTGGTAGTGACAAACCAGAGTGGTATTTAGTGAGGTAGAAAGGGTTTGAGTTTTATAGTCAGAAAGATCTGGGTTCATGTTCTCGTTTGGCCACTCTGTGATCTTCACATAAATTACTTAATTTCCCTTTGACTTAGATTCCCAAAGTGTGAAGTGGTATGGATTAAATTAAATAATCTATGAAGAGCACCTGTGATACCTTTTCTTATGTAATAGGCACTCAATAACTGTAACTGCTTTCCACCCCTCAATAACATTCTATGTTTTCTTACATTATGGTTTAACAACAATCATTCGACAAATTTGGTTACAATAAATTTAATGAGTTCCTACTATATACAACACATTATGGAAAATACAAAGATGAAAATCTGTTCCCTGCGCTCAAAAAGTTTTTGTGTAAGGCAAGATGGACATGTAAGTAACTGTATAAAATAAGAGGAATTTGTACTCTAGAATAAATACAAGCAAATCACTGAGGAAATATGAAGGAAAGTACTCTTAAATCACAGATCACATACAGAATTTAGCAATGGATTTTGATGTTAATAGGTGGGGAAAAAGTGGCTTGCATGGCAATTATCCCTAGATCATACTAGATCAGATGTTATGGAAGGATATAGTAAGAGTCCCAGCCTTCCTGCTGGAATGTAAGCTATATGTGGAGGGATTTTGATTTTGTCATCGCATTCTGTATCTACTATACAGAATTAAGTTGGCACATAGTACGTGCTCAGTAATATTTGTTGAATAAGTAAATGAATGGTAGGTTCAGACTAGATCGTGCTCACTTTGGGAAACCTTAAATGCCATTTAAGAAATGTGGAATCGTTTACTATGTAATAGAGAACCATCAAAGATATTTAAAGAGAGAAGTAATATAATTTTACCTTTTAATAATAAGCTAACTTTGGTAATGTGATAAATATATTGGAGAAACAGATTGGCAGCAAGCAGACCTGTAAGATGACTGTTGTGATAGAAGAATGACATGAAGTCATTAAGGATTATAGCAGCAGTGGAAGAGAACAAGGAGGCATGTCAGACATTTAAATGTTAAGATCAATAGGATTTGGTAACTATTAAGGCCCTTTCGCATAATGCAAGTAATAGAAGCCAAATTCAAACTGGCTATAAAACAACAGAAGTTATTGGGTCATTGAACAAGGAAGTCGAGGATGGATGTGGTATGAAGGTTAATTCTAGGTGTCAACTTGATTAGATGAAGGAGTGCTGAGAAACCATGAGGGTGTTTCCAGAAGAGATTAGCAGAGAGCCTGAGTGGACTGAGTGGGAAAGATCTGCCCTAAAAATGGGTGGAAACCATCCAATCCAGTGGGGGCCTGGAGAGGACAAAAAAATGGAGAAAACAGGAGAATATCTCTCATCTGCTGGAGCTGGGATATACTCTTCTTTCCTGTCTGTGGACATCAGAGCTCAAGGCTCTTCAACTTTTGGATTCTAGGACTCACACCAAAGGACATGCTCAGCTTCCCTGGTTTTGAGGCCTTCAGAACTGGACTGAGCCATGCTACCAACATCCGGTTTGCAGATGGCCCATCCTGGAAT